ACCGACTGATCGGACTGCACATGCGTGGGGGTTTCCCGCCAGGTCTAACGGCACTGACATTCCATCTTCGTAATGCCTTTTGAAGTTATCTCACACCTGACACTTGAAAGACTTATGATTGGGCTGGGACTGTGATGCCAGGGGGTGGGGAATGGGCTATTCTATATATCAACTGCTTTCGCGCCTAATTAATCAGACTTCGCTATGCATTGCCTTTAACCATTATTAATTAGTAAAAGTACATTTGATTTCTACCCATGGAGTCTCATGGTCTTTCTTTCCTAATTAACAAATGGAGAGGAGCTGACAAATATTTCTTAAGAATTTAGAGCGTATGAGTCAATTTATACTGATATTAACTGAGTATAACATAAACTTAATGAGTAAATAAATAAAAATAACATTTACACTAGAAAATAGTAGAAAAATAGGCAGGTGGAATTGGGATTAGAGTTTTTTGCAACTGGATAGATGTGGATTGCAGATTTAGCAATCTCATTTTCATTTCATCTTTGTTCATTTCAATGGGTTTTGTTTGTTTTCTTAATTTATTTGGCAATACTTATGTAAAAGATTTCTGCTTATTATTCAGAGAGGTACCCAGAATTCAATTAAAAGACAACTATGAATATTGTATGACATTCAGACCATAGTTAAATCAGATTTTATTGTAGTAGACATGATTTCTTCAAACACTGGCAAATTAAAAAAAAAAAGTTATAAGGCAGCATCCAATCAAGTCAACAAAATCTGGATCTAGGAGCAGTTAAAATAAGAAAGAAATGCTTCTCCAATCTCAAATTTCAATGTTTGGTAAAAGAAATAGGATTGGAAAATATGAGAGTCTCGAAATAGGAGGGTGGGTCTTTGTGGATGTTTGTTTAAAGATATGATTTAGTGCCAGAATATTCAGGTTGCAGCTCATAAGGTTAAATAACTCTTCCGTTTCTTTCTAAGAACTTAAACTCATTTTATGATGAACTTACTTGAAACTGAAATTCTTTGCAGAATGTTCCCTCCCCCCAAATTTTTAATCAAAGGAGTAGAAATACATAAACCTGATAGAATATTAGAAAAAGATAGTCTACAACAGTGCTTCTCAACCTTAGTCCACCTGAAGATGTGTGGACTTCAACTCCCAGAATCCCCCAGCACAGCTGGCTGGGGGATTCTGGGAATTGAAGTCCACGCATCTTCAGGTGACCAAGGTTGAGAAACACTGGTCTACACATGGCTAATTGTTCAAAAAGCCACTAACAAGTTGAGTCACTGTTGGGGATTTGATTGCATTTGTCAATATTAAAAAGAAAAGTAAATTTGGACTTGTTGAACAACACACAACATGGAGCCTTATGTTCCTTTTATGTTTTGTTATGTTTGAAACAAAATGAATAAATAGTGATTAAAGGATGCTGTGCTTTGCACATAGATATCCATATCCTGAAACATTCTCAAGGAGAAAGGAGTCTCAAGTCTTTGTAAATTCTACTGCTATAATGAAGAGGCTAGAGAGAAAGTTGGCATTGTTTTGACACAAAACTTTTCCTACTGATATAGGCTGCCAGTTTCCCATAACAAACTTGTACAATAATTTGAGATTATCAAGTGTTTGGATTCATTCCGCTTTCTGTTGATTTGTGTACTTTTATAAATACATGGCTTCAAAGTAGGGGGCCTTTCCATTCATGCTTTATATTATTGCATCAATTCAGCCTATTTTATAAAAAATATCTCCAGATAAATTGTGAAATGAGTTTCAAAGCTTAAAATGAGTTTCTTAAAATCCTAGTTATAATTTGTTTAAAAATCTATTTTTTTCTTAATCAAATATAAAAATATACCTTAGTAACAGATGTTCAGTGTTAAATTTAACAACGGAAAACATCATGTTTCAGTTATTGCTTGTTTCTTGAATGAAGTCTCTTATACAACTATTTCAATTTTGTTCTGCATTATAACCCATCCTATAAACAATTATAAAATGGCACCGATTCTATAATTACTTTATTCAGTAATAATAAATAATGTCTTGACGTAAAAAGTGTAAGCCTACTATGGTTTTATAGAAAGAATAAAATAAGACTTAACTCCAAATGGGAAGGTTTTATGAAGGGATATGACCCCTTGAGGTAAGTCTAGTAAAGCATTTTTATATATTTTGTATGATTCAATTTTTTTCATGTATACTCTAAACTTGTAATAATATATTTTTAAAGAGCATATAGCACTTTTTACTCAAGCACAATTAAACATTTTAAACCTTGAACAATTATTTTAAGCAGCTACCTTAGAAAAGCTTACTTGTTTCCTGATATTTATATTAGACATAGCTTGCATACTTCAAAATAGTAGTGGTGAACAAATAAAATCTTTGTAACATGCATGGTTTCCTATACTTAAAACCCAAATAGAACTAATTCAGAGAAGCCCATAAGGCTGTGATCACGCTGCTTATGAAAATCAGGCTTGAAGCTGAAAACCAGGATAAATTCACCTATCCAGTATTTTAAGTTTCTTCCATATGATGCACTTTCTAAACATAAAATTGCTGCCCTGTACAGTTTGATGTCATCTGAAAAGAACCTAACATGTTAATTTTCATTTAGCCATTACAGCTTGTTAATATTTCTGTTTCCTTTTTCAGTTGATGAAGGGATGGTAAAGGAACTTGATCAAGTTCAGGTTCTCCATAAGAGGTCAGTTATGCCTTACAGGATGTATAGAAGGAATCGAAAAGGACCAAGCGATGAAGAAACTGTACAGCAATATGCAGCTCTCGTGGGACAGGCGTGTTCAGAGAGGATGTTGCTTTTTCGGAGCTGAATATTCATTCTGTATATGTTCCAGAATGATGTTTTATCATACATATTACATATCTCCGCTTTTTTCTGTTGTTATGCCTATTGAATAAGCACTGTGTACCTTTTTTCTGCCTGGGAATGAACATGTTGACAAACTTTAGCATAAAACATTGATTTTGAGTCTTTATATTAAGGGCTTGTCAGAATATTACAATGACCAAGTTCATTAGTTTAAAGACCTTCTTACATTTTCAAATAAGTGAAGGGGAAGAATATAAAATTGAGTGGAACATTGGGGGGGGGGGGAAATCGCATTTTGTAGGTATTTGGTAAAGATAATATTTAAAATCAACTAGGTGATGAACTAGAAGTTGTTGTGAAATGTATAAATATTTCAGAAATTTTATATTTTCTTTGACTACTATCAGATAATTAAATATTTTGTTCTAGTGTTATTTCAGAATTCAGTTAGCCAGATACTTGTAAGTAAGCAAAAGTTTTGCACTATGCTTCAGTGGGAAAACCCAACCTCTGTCTTAGTAGAGTGACTAGGATTGCTATTATATCATATAATAGAAAGCCATCTAATGTGTATCTATGCATTACATCTTTCAAATTATTCCCTTTTAGATGTTTGCTTTAAATAACATATAATTGTATTGAAATAACCAGGAAGTTTGATGATATAGGTGTTGTTTTTTTTTTGTAATTGACATTTTGGGAAAGGTTGAAGGCAAAATGTTTATCAAATTACCAAAGAAATTAATTTTAAAATGTAGATTAAAACATCCCATTTTTTTTGTATTCTTAATCATTATATCCATTGTAGTATTCAGAGAATATGCTTGCAATACACCATTAAAAAAATCCTTCATTTCACACTGAGCAATGTTTTAACTGAGTATCAGAACTTTTGATGTTATCCATTCTGTATTTTAAGCTGTATTTTAAGCTGTAAAATACAAAGCTATGAAATTCAACATTCTGCACTCAGCTGATATTTTTCACACAACTTTGATCAATCTTTTCTCATTATCTAATTCAGCAGGACAGAAGAAGATGAAAATACAGTTAATTGCCTAGATTTTGCCTGTAATTTGGGATGTAATACCCTGTTTCCCCAAAAATAAGACCTCCCCGGATAATAACCCCAATAGGCTTTTGAGCATGTGCACTAAAATAAGTTCTCTCCCAAAAATAAGCCTTCCCCTAAAATATTTAAATGCATGCGCAGCCAGCCCCTACCATTTCCTGGGGGGGACATGCACCATGCACCACACATGCGCCTCCCATCCACGCGGAATGGCCTCACAGAAGCTACTCCCGCAAACTTTAGCTACCACACCCCTTCTCTTAGTGGCGGCTGAAAAAAGAGGGGCAGGCCCACTGATGCTAGGGCTGGCAAGAGCCAGAAACAGAGGCAGAACTTCCAGCCCTCTCTTGATCAGCTCAGCTGCAGGCTGCAGTTAAGGGACCTTCTGCACCTCAAAAATAATAAGACCTCCCTGAAAATAAGGCCAAGTTTTTTTTTCGGGGGGGGGGGTGTCAAAAGAAAATAAGACCCTGTCTTGTTTTTGGGAAAACATGGTAATAGTATGGAATCA